TATATAAACCCAACCAAAATAGAATACACAAAGAAAAAGAGAAATGAACCACGAATCTACCAGTTTGTCAACGTCGATCGAAGAGCAATCCACACTGAATAATTTGTATGCAAGTTCCATAGTTGTTATCTAAGCTAATCCTAACAAAATTATAGGTTGATGGAGTTTGGAGCAAAAACTTCCCCAAAACCATAACACAAAATGTAATGAAAATGAAGTTATAAAGAAAATCTCAACAGACCGCGCTTAGTGGATTTACCGCACTAAATGGTTGCACGATATTTACACATTAAACCAACCTAAACAACGATAAGTGCGCTATCCACGCTAAGAGGGCTCCAAAACTAAGCTTCTGCCAAAATGCAATACTCAAGAAGCACACTACAAAATACGTTGAGCGCACTCGTGCTTAGCTGCCTTTTACGCGCTAAGCGGACTCTCCTGGGCAAAACTTCTCAAAACTGGAACAAATACCTACAAAATGAATAGAAAAATATCAAACGGTACACTATGTACACAAAAACACAAATAAACACAAACTAAATGTATTTACATAAAAGTCAGATTTATTCAACCGATATTACAACAAAGAGTCGATAAGTGAAACAAAAATTATATACAAAAATAACTACAATTTGCACTTATCAACGGGCTCTGCGATTCTTCCAAAAAAACCTACGATGACAGCACAGTCCCAATGTTATTTTCTTCACCCAAAACATATTTTAACATCCAATTTATTATGATTTAAGACATCTTAACACATATCTAACACCTATTAATTAATCAAAACATCATAACATAATCACATACCAATTCCATGGATTCTCAGTCAAAACCTAAGCAATTCAAAACATAAAAACTAGAGAAATCAATCTTAATATCTGCTACTACTCATCATGCATTATCAACAACCCCAATAACCAAATGAAAACTCACTCTTACCTTGTTCTAGGTAGATTCCACAACTTTTGTGTTCTTGCCCTTTTCTCCTCTTTCTCTTTCTTCTCTTGTTTTCTCGTGAAAACCTTTTATCTTCTCTTTTGTTAATCCTCTTACTAACTCTATTTCTTTTCTTTTTATTAAACCCTTATAAAACTAACTCTAGTAATCACTATTGGGCTTACTAACACACACTCCATATTACTCTTTACTTCTCACCCAATTAGGCTCAATTACCAATTATGTTATTATTTCTATATAATTATCACTAATAAAATAATTATTTATTAACCAACATCAAAACTAACTATGATTCTATGATTATCCATATTAACCTGACTGACCCATCACATACAACATACATTAAGTAATCATGTATTCACAAAAATCAAAATAATAATTAATTAATCAAATATATGCTAAATAGAAAATTGGGGTGTTACATCGGCATCTTAGTCTTAAGGAGAAATCACAAAGATTCTCGCGAAAGAAAACTCGCCGCAAATTGGGAAGGTCCTTACCACGTCTGAGCATAAACGAAGAACGGGGCCTACTACCTAAAAAACTTACACGGGGAATAACTTGCTCGACCATGTAACACCAAGAAATTGAAACAATATTATAGTTAAGGCCGAAAATGATTGGCGTGCTCTGTCAGACGACGAACATGGCATTCCTGACCACATGTGGGTGCCTAGGCACAAGCACGACATTTCAAATTCAGACAAAAAGGTGAGTTTCCACTCTTTAACGAGCAGATCCTCGGTCCGACGGGGAAAACTCAAAGAGCTCCACCGTTGTCGTACAATGACGCAGAACACCCAGCTTGCAATAGGAAGTTCTCACCGCATGACTCATATCCTAAAAATGAGACCTGAGCTCCACCCCACGCCCAAAAAACAATTTTGGTCATTGGACCAGTTCCTCGCACTGTCGAATACCAATACTATCGAGCAAACCTGAAACACTTAGTAAAAATAAATTATGAAATATCTGGAATGTTGAGAGCAAACGGGAGCAAAAAAACTGGCGAAAAGTGCAAATGAACTGCGTCCTTCCCTATTTATAGAACGGTCTCAGAGCATGTGCATGTGCATGCGCGCCAACCTAGGAAAATGTATGGATCATCATTAAATCCTAGACCTTAGCCTAGCAATCATTATGCATTAACTGCAACGCATGGCTCAATGCAAGCATGAACCGCAACATCTACAAATCCAATCACATGTTGACTCCCCGCGCGCTGAACACATGAGGCGACGTTTGAGTTCCTTGTACGTACTTGTCCTTCAGGAATCGCAGAACATCCCCATTTTCATCAATAGACACTAATTGTGCCTTTTTCTCCTTGACTCGCAAGCTGAATCTAAGATGTCACTCCTATGTCCAGAAACAACGACTTGGGGGCTCCTGTTTTGAAATGGCCCAATGGCTAGGCATGACCCAATCCACTTCCGCGTTCAGGACTGCCCAATAGCTTTGGCCCAATCGAATGGGGAAAAAAAGGCACTTTCCCTTTCTGCCCCTCGGCCGGAGACGCGTGGTCGTGTGACCCCCCAAGGCCAACAAGACCATTGTTGCCCTTAGTCGTACTTCTGCATGCGTCAACGACTAGTCTTCATTCTGCCTGTCACACGTGGAGAAACGTTCCAGGAATAACAAGACCATGTCTTCCCGTGATTGCGTCCCTACTTGTGACAACGGCTTGTTTCGGGCATCTCTGTCTGTTACAATAGCTAGTTCCTGGCAGTTACCTCTTTTTTGGGACCTAATATCCATACTCAAAAATATGAACCAATGTCCAAGAGCTATAAACTGTCACACTTGTGAGGATCAGGTATTCAGTATTCAATATTCTACTCTAAAACCATCAATATTGTGCTTAAATTTGAACACTCTTTTCACTTTGATAGCTTTTGTATGTACTGACAATTCGACTAACTCCCACGTATTGTTTATTTCGATTGCTTGTAACTCTTCAACCATAATGTAATTCTATTATTTATTCTTTAAAGTATCGATATAGTTGATTGGTTCAGCACCTGCAAGTAAAGAAAAATGATCTAATTTTTTATCTGGTGTGACTTCATCATCACCATTCACTTCATAGTCTTGAAGTCTTGTTGGACGAACTCTAGTTTTTTGAAGTCTTTGGCTTGTGCTAGCCACACCCTCTTCGAATTTTACTGTGTTAGGAATGTCACCGACTGCTTCGACTTCGACCAGAATATCGCCAATTTCTTTGACTTCGACTTCATCAGTTTCTTCGTCAAAACCATAGTTCATCAATGGCTTTTTAATTGCATCACCAGAATTCCAATTCCAGACATATTTTTCATCAATCACAATACTTTGACTCATCACGATCTTCTCATTAATTGGATTGAATAGCCTGTATGCTCAAGTTTTAAGATGTCCTACTAGAATCATATGTTGATTATTGTCATCAAGCTTCCTTCTTCTCGCATCAAGAACATTCTTGTAACAAATATAGTTAAACACCTTCAGATGACTCACTGATGGTCGTTTACCACTCCAAACTTCTTCAAGAACCTTGTTCTTCAGTTTCTTTGTAGGACACATGTTCAGATATAGACAACAATGGTGACTGCTTCATCCCATAAAGATTTTGGTAAATTTGTCTGCTTCAGCATACATCTTGCCATATCCAATATAGTTCTGTTTCTTCTTTCTACAATTCAATTATGTTGAGGCGTATATGGAGCAGTCACCTTATGATCAACACGATGTTCTGCATAGAACTCTTCAAATATCTTGGATGTGTATTCGCCACCTCCATCTGTTTGCAGAACTTTAATCTTCTTCTCACTATGATTTTCGACAAGCATCTTGAATCTCTTAAAGATTTCAAATACTTCATCCTTTTGCTCGACCACATAGATCAAAAGCTTTCGACACTACTCATCGACAAACAAAACAAAATGCATGTTTTCACCAATGGTATGCTCCTTAAAAGGGCCACATACATCTAAATGTACAATTTTGAGTATGCAGGAGGATCTCATTGGCATAGTCAAAACAAACAATTTTCTGGATTGCTTCCCTACTAAGTAACCTTCACAGAGTTTATCAGGCATCTCAAGAATTGATATATATGTTACTCCATTCGTCCCATATTATTTGTCGCAGTTGACCATTTCACACAGATTAAGAAACAGTAATAAAGACAAAATACATTTTTTGGTCCTGTATGTTAACGTCAAGGTTCATTTTGGTCTCTTAACTTAAAAAAGATTCATATTGGTCTCTTAACTCTTAAAAACGCTTCATTTTAGTCCTTTTTGTCTAATTAGCGATGAAAAAAATTTAAAAATCAGTCACTAAATCCGTCGCTAATTAGACAAAAAGGATTAAAATAAAATATTTTGAAGAGTTAATAAATCAATATGAACCTTTTTTAAGTTAAGGGACCAAAATGAACATTGACGTTAACATACGGGACCAAAAATAATATTTTGTCCAATCAAAAATGAAAGAGAGAATAATAATTTTACCAAATTATTCTAATTATGTATTCAAATTAACATTAATGTTAAGTGGAAAAATAATAAATTAAAAGTATTTTTTAGAGGCTACAATTGAAAGATTAAATATACAATTACATTAGTAATTTAAAGTGACAAGTATTTTAAAACAAATTTTTTTCTAAATATCATATTTATTTTAAAATAGAAGGAGTATCATATATTAAATAATCAATTGATTGAGTAATCAATATAATGCTTCTTTGACAGTTGAGGTTGTTAATAATGTATCATCTTGTGTAACATATGCCTGAGTATAAGAATGATCACATGTATAAATGTTAATTAATTAAAAGAATTTATTGGACTAATTATTGATTAGTTTATAGTTAAAGTATTCAAGATTTGTTTATATATACCGAGGTTCCATAAGCCAGAATCTCCCCCAATTGTCTTGCGTTTGAACCTAATCTCCCTGAAATACATAATAATATTATATTTTCAAAGATAATAAGCATTGGATGTGAAACCTGGTGAAGAATCGAATTACATTATTATAAAGAAAAATCCCATATGTACATCAAGTTGGTATTTGTTTTCCCACCCAAACTACATATTTTTAAATCTATATGTACATCAAGTTGGTATTTGTTTTCCCACCCAAACTACATATTTTTAAATCTTAATGGTGACTATTTAAAAGAACTGTTATTTTCTACAGTTGCTGCTGATCAGTCATATAAGGTGGAGGCGATGGAAGCGGTAGCACGTTATCTAAAAATCCTCAATCTTAGGAAGGTCTAACATCATTTGTAGGCTGAACACATGGAATGATATGGGTGTAATACTATAAAATACCATTCTAAAAAAGAATCCAAACACTATCCAAGAAAAGACATCCAATTGCATCATCTCTAATAGCACGAACACTACTTATAATATTAGACCTAAATCATCTATCAATAGCCTCGGATGGCACCACAAGGATTGGTTTAGGGATGCCCTGATCATGACCAAACAGACACACACCTCTAAGATAAATATCTAGCCATAAAATTCTCCCATCCCAAATAACTCAAAAAGGCTAGTGTCAGCAAACTCCTAATGCACTATAAAATCTACGTAGAGAGTCCATATAACATCATCTACTATTAACACATCAATCCTTAATCTTTCGTATGTACTCCTGAAGACTTAAATGAGAATGCCATGGTCCTCCATCTAGTGGCTGGTGGCAATCCATCGATTACCACTTTTTTTTAAAAAGTATGATAAAAATGCATGTAAAATATAGAATTTTACTGAACATTTTAAAAATGTTGGTAAAAATGCTTCTTTTTTTTTGCTTAAAAATCTGATGTGAATATTAAATTGTCAATCAATTTAATGGGAAAAAACGTTCGCAAATATCCAGTATAAACTTCAAAAAATACGGCAAAAAAATCAAAATATTCAAACCAAAAAAAAGACTAAATGAATAGTAAAAATTTTATTATTTAAGTGCAAGAGTATTATTATAAAAGCACAATTAATGGAGTTCAAGTTCAATCAATTAGGTGACAAGTAAAATTGTCCCAAAAGAGTGGTGTCAAAACTTCCACAATGCATAAGCTATTTGAGCTTTAAAATACGGCCAATGATTATTAATATGTTTCTGTTTTTTTTTATAAATAAAAACAAACTACTAGTGTGGAGGAATATATTTGATGATTTTAACATATTTCAAAATATTTTCTTGAGAAAAATAGATTTTTTTTAAAAATGAGAGGATAACATAAAAAAAATAGAGAAAAAGTCATACCGACTTTTCCACTACAAAAGTAGCTAACCCTTATTTAAATTTTATTTAATACTAGTATATTTGATTATTTTATCATTTATTTTAATATTTTAAGTAATACTAGTATTTTTTGTCTAAGTTATCTTAATTTTATTACAATTAAAAAAGTATAAACAGTTAAAATAGTTAAAATTGTAACAGAAATTATTTAAACAAAAACAAATTTATTAATATTTATAAATAACCTTACAATAATACTTTTTCATTATACAAATTAAAAATATATATAATAAATTATCAAAACATTTTACAGTACAATTTTACAAAATTAATTAGATTAGTTATTGATTTGTTTTTCAACATCTTAACTTAAAAAATAAATCTTACATTAGAAAGTGAAAATGTAATTTAGCTCTTGAAGTGATGAAAAGAAAGGAGTATAGATGAGGAATTTACCTCTAGTTAGATTTCGTATGATATCTGTCGTGGAAAAGAGAGGTTGATGGAACCAAAAAGCTGTCAACACCGAATCTCTCACGTGGCTCATCAGTCGAGAACTTTGAAATGGAAAAGCAGATTCATTCACCACATCCCGATGCCATTTTTACCATTCTACACTTTTGCTTTTTTGAAATGCAACTACCACACCACTAGTAATTCTAATTATCCCACCTCAAAATCTGATTGCTCTTTTCCTTATCTCATATGACAGATTATAATCTAAACCTGAAAAAGTATTTTCCTCAAGGAAAGGAATCTGGATCCCTTAAAAAAGCTTCCTACACAATCACTTCTTGGCAGAGAGAAATCACCCTAGAGCCCTTTACAGATTTTTTACAGACTTTGGTTTTGGATAAGACAATCTGTGCAAAGTGAATTTTATCATCATCATGTCTACATTTCCAATATCTTTCCAGCATTACAATTTGATGTAGAGAAGAATATTTTTTCAAAAAAAATCTAAGAATACTCAAGGGTGGTGAAACCCCACTTAACAATAGATGTGAGTGCCTAAATTAAGGTTTCCATCTATCTATCAGCCCATGAAACATTTCAAGAATGCCTTTTAGAACCCTCAAGAGTCATTATAAAGACAATCAAAATCAGTTTTCAACAGCCATTGTAAAAGATGTGCTACCTGCCAGTTACTATCCAATTGTATACCAGACAAAAATGCATCAAAGTTGCAATAGAATATGAATATCCATGGGGCAGGCTAACAATGATAAATGAGTGTGCCTAATATCTTAAGACAAAAAACAAAGGAATAATACAACATGAATATAAATGTATAAACTTAAGTCTGCAAACATTACAGTATGAGGAATAATAATAATACAACAATTGTATCTAATGCACATACAATATCATAGTTTTGGTCTCTATTGATAAGTAAATGGACAACCCGGGACTCGACCAAACTGTAAAATGAATGGCATGAGAGCTCAAACCCTCAATGCAATCCCATTGTACCTATAGTTTCAGCAAAATACCAAAACTTCAACAACATAAACCAAAGCAACAGAAAATTCATTTAGAGATTTCTAAACTGAGTGTGTACCTGGCATTAATATCTGCCACATTAAATTCACGAAGATTCCTTGGCTCTATACACTGCTAGGTTGCTCGAGCTGAAGGACGGAATCATCTTCCATTGTCCAGACAAAACCAGGCATGTCCAACCTTGGCCCAGCAGTACTTCTGTATATATAAAGCTTCTCCACAGCACAGCTATCCGGCCTTGAATCTGGAGGTCCTCTTTCATCAATGACTTCAACATTAAGTCTGGGCATTTGCTGACCCAGTAGCTTACACGCTCCATAACTCACTGGGCAAGAGGACATCCAAAGGGATCGCATTGTCTCGAGTTTTGCCGCATTGGCCAAAAGAGCCTTGTCGCCGAAGGGGCAGTCCCTGATCTCAAGCTTCCTAAGATTATCACACCCAGACAGCATATAATGGAGACCCAAATCGCTATCTCCGGCAAAGGCAACGGATAGCATCTCCAGCTTCTTTGCATGAGCTCCAATATACTCAAAAACACGATCAGTAAGAAGGCCGGAAAGGGAAAGGCGCCGAAGATCCTTACAATGCTCTACAATAGCTCCAAAACCAGAATCTAGTGGTTGAAGGGTAAGATAGTCAGGAGTTCGAGGCTCCAGAATACACAGGCGAAAGCGAGTCAAATTAGGCCTACTCTGCGCAATAGTATTTAGAGCAGCATTAGACATTTGACGACAAAAATATAGAATGGACTGGAGCTTTGGGCAGCGTTTAGATACAGAGACAAGACCCTGTTCTGTCAACGCAATATTTGGTTCTAAACCAAATGGATCAGAGGGAAACACCCTCAACTCCTGTAGATCCTTGCATGAAGCAGCAACGACATCAAGACCAGCATCTTCTATGTAATCAAGCACCTGTATCATCGGACTTTAATTAGCACAAGAATATACAACACGATTCAAGGGTATTGAACCTGAGCACACAAAACATGGAACAAGCAATACAATGAAAAATATCATATAAATCCAACATACCCATAACCGCAACAAATTGGGGCATTGACCGACAAGCTTGATAAGATCAGAGCTTTGAATGACAGCATAACTCAAGTTTAGTGATGTTAGCCTAGAGCAGACTGGATTTAGTGCCGGAAGGTAGGATGGCAGAACTTGCCAAAAACCAGACAAGCTCTTCATTTGCTTGCACCCAGAAAATGCTGTTACTAGGTTTGAGAAGACCTCTGGACGCATCTCAGCTGAGTAGACTCCTGTGCCTAACTCAGCAAGCTGAGGACATCGGCTAAGTAAGTTCGGCAGTTTTTCAAGGGGCGCAGCATGATTGAGACGAAGAGTCTGGATGTTAGGACACCTACCAAGTAGACGCTCTAGTGCGGACAAACTCACCTCATTGTTCAAGCAAGAGATGTTAAGTGAAACTAATGATGTGTAAGAATCAGGGAATTGGCTTAGCCAATGCCCACTAAGGTCCTCCAGTTCACTCTCCTGCAAGTTCAATTCCTTCAAATTCCTACAATTCAAGGGGAGACAAAGTCTTTATCAATGACACTTCAGAAACCAGTATCTCCTATGGTTTTTAAGAGGTAAACAGTGTAGTAAACTGAATCAAGCAACTGTTAATGGCTCAGTATTAATTAAGGACATTATCCCCTTAACACTACAAACCAAGCATAAAGCAAAAGTTTTAAAAAGCACACTTCTAATTAAAAATTCACAGAAACATGAAACGTTGGTAGTAATATTTACAAACTGTCAGTCTTAAGTGAATCGCATTTTCTGTCAACTATAAAAAAAGTGAAACACATCAAAATTAAAAATGACGATACTAAGCTAAAAATTGAAGGGTCAACCATTAAATAGTTCATAAACTTTACTAAATAAAAAATAGTCCCTTTTGGACTTCGGCCCTCCTTGTAACCAAAAAAAAAAAATCAGTCCCTTTAAATTTTTACAAAAAAAAGTAGTATTCAATTTCCTCCATCAAAACAGTTCTTTATACACATCGACTTGAATTGTCTCTTCCTACATCATTCTAAAACAAGAATAGAACCTCTGAGATTATGGTGCCATAAATTTGACAAAAATAATAAACTAATTGATTTTGTTCAATTTAAGGGACTAATCCTAAATTCATAAATTTAATGACTTAATTGACCACCACAATTTCAAATGTCTAAAAGTAAGAATTAATTAAGAGTTAATTAACAACCAAATAATATAATTAGTTTTAAATATCAAGTATAACTCATTATCACAAAAAACCACTTTCTTAAAAATAAGGCATTCTTTTTAAAAACTTTTTCAGTCTTATCTCTTTGATCCGTGGCGAGGAAAGTGAATAATGGGTCATGACTCATGAATGCTTAATAGGAAAGAGAGGGGATCTAACATGAAAAAACGAATAAAATATAAATAGTAAAAGTAATACATTTTCAATATCATCATATATAAATTCATCAAAAAAAAAAATCCAAAAACAATTATACAAAATGTGGAAAAAAAATTCATTTTTTAATGAACAGTATTCAAAAAGAAATATACATGAATCAAATATAACCAATGACCATAAAAAAGTTCACTTAAAAAGTTAAAACATCACATGGGTAAAGAACAAGAGAATCTCCATCATAATTGCTAATAGAAAACTAAAGCAAAAGCAAAGATCCAAAACTTAAGATTATTCAATCAAATCAAAATCAATTCACTTCACCTCAATTCAACGCAAAAACAACCAAATGAGAAGAAGAATTCAAAAGGCAAAAGAAAACCTGCAATTAGAAGCAATGGCAGCAAGTCCATCCGTCGTAAACCCCTCACACGAAATAAGCACCAAAACCTTAAAATTCTTAAACGACTTAGCAATAAGCTCCAAGCTCTCATCCGTAATAACCATCCTCTTGAGCCGAATCTCTTCCAGCAACGGCAAACCATACGCCATAGCCGCGATCCACGGACTAACATAACCTCCCCATCCTTCCGGCACCAAATTGAAGTCCGCAAAGTGCGGTTTCCCTTTCAGCGAAACGGATCTTAGCTCGGGAAACCGTTTCGTCACCGTTGAAGGACTCACGGCGTAGCAGTTTCCGACGAAAATCCGCCGCCTGCACCACCGTTCGATCTCGTACCATGATTTACACACTAAAGAGATCGAGTTTCGGTCTTTGTCACATTGAATGAAGGAGAACACGTACTCGAGAACTTCCTCAGGGAAACGAATCGTCATTTTCTGCATGTGAATGAACGAGTGTTGAGTGTGGAGTGTGGTGCAGTTTTGAGAGTTAGATCTGAGACACCGTTAACGAGCTTAAAGTGTTTGTGAAAATGCGTGAGAGAGAGAGAAGATAAGAGTGGTTTATGTTGAGTTTGAGTGTGGTTAGAAACTAACTATGGTTAAATAAGTGATGGATTATTGATCATTGATGGTGGTGAGGGAAGTGTTATTGGCAATTATTATAAGGGAGACACGTGGTTTGAGAATTAATGATGACCGTTTGATGAGGGTGTGGAATTTGATCTTATCCGTTGAGAGAGATCGAAGAGGAGCCGCAGAAAACGGGTGTGTGTGAAAAGACGTGGACTAAAGAGACGCTATTTTCAGTTTCTCATGAGTTGTTGAAATGAGAAAAAAACCGACATGGTTTTTTATCTTTGAAGAATGAATATTATCTTCTCCATTTCTAGAAAAGGAAAAAAAGAGGGTTTCATTTTTTTTTTTTTAAATTAAGGAAATAATAACGATCTCATTTTGTGATGATCTTAATGTGCATATAAAATGTAAAAGGTGAAGAGAAGCGTGGGGTTGCTAAAAAAAATTTTTTTATGAGAATCTAATGCTGGAAATAATAATTATTCTTCGGCTTGGTAGATGGAAGAGAAAAACATGTCTTAAAATAAATAATACTCAAGAATATAAGACATTTATGAATTTTTAAATATTTATTTTATACCAAAGAGTGAAAATTATATATTTAAATGAGAATAAAAAATTTTATACCAAAGAGTGAAAATTATATATTTAAATGAGAATAAAAAATAGACAACTATATTTGTTCACTTTATATTATTTCAACGCATTATTTTAAATTTTAAAAATTATAAATAAAATAAAATTCAAAAATATTAATAAGAATATTAATTATTTATCAAACAAATTAATAAGAATAAAATTCATGACATTAACATTTTTAAGAATGACATCTCTGATATTCAGGAATGGTAATGCGCAGAGTTTGAGCAGGATATTATAACATTCGTTTTTATATTTGTAGTTTAAAAAAATCTCTTTTATATCTGTAGTTTAAAAAAATCTATGTACCCGAATCTAAATTCTTGTGGGTACTAATGTTCATTCATGTATCCATATTTTATGAGTACTTTAATACTCATATTCCTACTCATATCCATGTTTGTAGTAAAATTAATTTAATTAATTAAAATATTATATAATTTTAAGTTTTTTTAACAATACTAAAAAGATTTATGGATGTTATTATTGAACTAAAAAAATAAATAAACAGTTTAATAGCGATATATTTTCTAGAAATTGATCAATGTGCATTTTTACATAATAATATAAATGGCATTATATAAACATGTAGTGCAGGTATGGGGCGGGACAGATAGTAAGGTATTTGTGTTTGTACTCATATCCGCTTATTTTAATGGGTAATTACATGTGCATGTATCCATATTCATTTTGCAGGTTTTTACCCTAGTCATTATGGATATTTGTTGCGGGTATCCATATGATATGGGGAAAATTGTCATCCTGCTGGTATTGTAATTTTAATATGTGAAACAAACGCACCCTAAGTCTTAAAATATCGAAGAAATCAAATATACAAAGAAAAGTTTTTCAAAATCCTCTCTTATTTTATAAAACTTCTTGAAAATCTATGAAGACTTGTATGAAATTGATTATGAAATATTTTTAATCAATTGAAAAAGTTTTTGTACTACCTAATCGATTAAGAACTTGGTTCAGACAATTAGAGCAAAGTAAATAACATTTTAATTGATTAGAAAAACTTTTTATCAATTAAAACCATATAGTTGTTTTTACAGTTTCCTTTTTTATATTAGGGTTGTCGTATTTTTTTAAAACACTTAATCAGTTACCAATTAGGATTAATCGATTAAGTCATTAAAACTACATATGGATCATTTCTTTTTCAAGGCAAATATTTTCTTATATAAAGTAGGTTTCTCCTTATTTTATTTTATATCGGATTTCTGAATAGAAACTCTTTTATATTTCTTCTACTCTCTATGATTTTGAATTTATTTTTCGCGAGAATTGTCATAATGTTAAAAGACCGAAAAGCCCTTATAAGAGTTATGTTGTAATAGATGTTGTGTTTTAATTTTCTTTATTTAAGAGTGTGATTCTATTGTGTAATTATTTTTATAAAAAATGATTTAAAAGGTTGCAAGGAAAACTCGTATAAAAGTTTGTTTGAATGTTCCTGAGTTAAGCCCATGTACAAGTTTTGTATATTGGTTATTGAGTTTAGCCAGTGTAACAGCTTTATCTATTTGTTATTGAAGGTTCGTGGGAAAATCCTATAAAAATCTCAAGTGTGATTTTAGAGGAATTCTCAAGAGGAAACTCTTGGATACAGAAGTAGGTCAAATGGTTAGGCCGGACCTGAAATTACTGGTGCACTATTTATATATTTTCTCTCTTTTCTTTTATGTTGTTTATGTTATTCGTGTTGTGTATCTCTCCATCTTCTTTCCATATTCCAGCTAATATATCTTTATGTGATTATCAAAACTAAAATAATTGTTTAAATGAAAAATATTTTATAAATTGGTTAAGATTTTAAATAACACAATTTAAGTCCCTCTTCTTGTGTTTGGAGTCACTTAGTCAACAAGTGACATTAGAGTCTTACATCTATTATAAGAGTAGTAGTCTCTAGAGGTAGTATGATGATTTCAAATTTTTTTTTAAGAAGGAACTTTTCATGAATACATCTTCAATATTTAATGGTGGAGGTTTAATATCTTAAAAGAAAGGATAAAAATATTTTTTGACTCAATATATTGTGATTTTATGGAATTTTATTTTACAAGATCCATTTTTAATGTATTTGTCTCTTAGATATAAGTTTTATCTGATGTTAAAACTAGAATTGATTTAGCCTTTATGTATGTTGAACGGTTTCTCTAAGTCATTGTGTGCATCCTTGCACTAGGAATCTTAAAATACATCTAGAACGTGTTTAAAAAAGTTGTCAATAGGTATCGTGCATTAAAAATTAACTTTTCAATAAAAATCAGTTGCATGTGTCGACACATCCATTATATGCTTCGATACATATGAATCAATAATAAAGCATGTAGGTTATGTAACTATGTATCGACACAATGACCTCGAATAGGTCGACACACATCATTAAAAATTAATTTTTGCATAAAAATTAGTTTCATGTGTCGACACATCCATTCTATGCGTCGACATATATATTGTTGTTTTAAAGCTTGTATCCTCTGTAAATTTGTGTGAGACATTGACCTAATATAGGTCGTGTCGACACATGTCATTACATGTGTCGACACATGCGTCAGTATTTTCCAAAAAATATTTTCCTTTTCAAACTTCTAGGTCTTCTTGAAGCCTCTAACTTGCACACCTATATATACTTCATACATGCATTATTTTCAACTTGATGAAACTATAAACACATCGTAAGATTACTCATCATCTTCTACCTTGCATCTATACATACACACAAACAAAGTACATAATCATTCATTATTTAGGTGTCATCTAGGCTTGGTTGATAACGTTCAATTTAGGTTAGTTGTAACCTAAGGTTGGGTTAAGAATCATAGGGGGTTTCATCCAAAAAAATCAAGTGTTTGTCCTCCAAGGTTATTGTGGATTTGAGGGTTATTTCAATAAGAATACCGATTCAGGGTTTTCCTTCAAGATCATTGGGATTTGATGGTTTTGGACAAGATTATGCAATTGGATTCAATCAAGTGAAAGCTTTAAAGACGGTGGTTCTTGCAAAGGAGTTGCGTGAGGCGGTGAATCAATTGGTGTTAATGGCAACTTGGTCTAGCCCAAGATTAAGGGGAGAGACATTGTAAGGATCAACAACAAACTTAGGGTTTATAAGTTTGGATTGCTTTAATTCTCTTGTAAAACGATATACTTGCAAAGTAAGTAATTTATCTCAATTCCAAACAGAATTGGAGGGAGTTGTAGCCATAGTGAGGACGATTGGTGAACTTCCTAAGCAAATCCTCATGTCTCTCTCTCTCTCTCTCTCTCTCTCTCTCTCTCTCTCTCTCTCTCCTCTCTTCTCTCTCTCTCTCTCTCTCTCTCTCTCTCTCTCTCTCTCTCTCTTCTCTCTCTCTCTCTCTCTCTCTCTCTCTCTCTCTCTCTCTCTCTCTCTCTCTCTCTCTATATATATATATATATATATATATATATATATATATATATATATATATATATATATAATATATATATATATATATATATATATATATATATATATATATATATATATATATATATATAAAATTAGCAATTTGTTAAACTCTTTGGTTGTGTAATTAATTTATATAGAAAAATTCTTTGATTGTTAAATTGTTTTGCTAACTACCTTACAATCTATTAGATTGTAAGATGTTGTAAGAGGTATTTCATTACAACAAAGCTCAAAGGAAAATATGAAAAATTAAGTGCACACTAAGTGTTCGATAAATTGTTTCACTTAGTTTTACCAATTGCACACTAAGTGTTCGATAAATTGTTTCACTTAATTTCATCAATTGTTTCATTGGATATTGGATGGTCTTGTAATTGTAAAACAATTACTTTAGAGTTTATTATATTAAGATATTATTATCATCATTTAATTGAGTTTGATATTTTACACATATTCGAGCCTCTAATAACCGGTTTAGTTTGAACGACTTATGATATAGGATATGACTTCCGCTTGCCATAGTTTTTGCTTAATTTTTTAAATAAGTTTTTAAGTTAAAATTTTCTTTGGCTGACTATTCACCCCCCTCTAGATAAGTTGTTGTCATCTAACAAGTGACATCAAGAGCTCGGTTGATTTTGTGTGCTTCAAAGACGCTTATTAGATAATGGCTACTGAACCTAAAGGGACGTACAATAGAGTGTTTGTATTCACCGATAAAAACTATGGTTATTAGAAAGCTTGTATGTGTATGTATATCAATTATTATGATAACAGTGTGTGG